AGATGACCTCCCGGGGTCCCTTCCAACCCTCATTTGCCTTGATTTTATGATACAAGATTTCTGTTCAAGGCCCCATATTGAATGTTAACCGTGTGGTCCTCTTTCAAGTTGAACAAACAGCAAGAAAAGCCGCTATCCCTCGTAACACCTGTTCGCATCCTGTGAGATGCAGCATAGCGTCATCTCTCTCTGTTCTTGCTAAGTGAGCTGGCTGCACCCATTTGTTAGGCATTATTTAAAAAGAATACTTGGGGGAAAAAAAAAATTCTGCCATTAAAGTTATTACTCTAAAGTAGTGCCTTTGATTGCAGCAATTATGCAAATGACTTGACGGGCTGAAATCCATCTTAGCAAGGGTTGGTACAAACACTGCTGCTGGAAGGAGCGCATAACTTTGGGAAACAGATTTTCATTTTTTTTTTTTGGTCCTTGTAAGTCATGTTCTTTCAGCGGTTTGCCGTGTCGGCTGGATGTTGATCTGCGGGAACCAGCAATGCTGTTTTATTTTTTCTCGGTGTAGGACTGTAAACGGGGGAAGGAGGAAAGCTGGTCCTGCAGAATCCAGGAAAATCTTTCACTAAGCAGATTCTCTCTCTCTCTAAGGATCTCTGCCCTCTGGGCTTTAATGCACACACGCGTGCACACGTGCACCCTGGCAGCAAATGGTTTTCTCTCTGTCTTCCAGGGACAAAGTTGGGATCATGCAGCTAGCGCTTCTTCCAACTCCACAGTTCAGGTAGCAACTCTCTTTCGCCTCCATTTTTGAGGGTCTCACTACCCCTAGCTCCATCACGGTGTCCTTTTCTGGGCACTTGTATGATCCGAGTGGGGAATTAACTGAAAACAACAGTATTGTTCACGTGGCCCCCGCAGTACGCCAGGACCCATGCGCAGCTAAAGGGAGACATCATGCCTCTTCCAAAGAATGGCGGTCTAAGGAGGGTTAGGTATCAGACGACCTTTCCACCTCGTTACCAACCAGTGGGAAAATCAATGGAGAAAAAGAGTTATAGACTTGCAAACTATGGAAATAATAAAGAGTGTAGCCTGGTAATCTTCAACGTGCGTTAAAATATCATCAGCATGACTAAGCCCAAGTCTCTAGTGAGAGAGTTTTAGTTGCATGTTTGAGTGATAAACTGAGGTAGGGAAGTTAAATGACTTTCTCAAATGTCATATAAACCTGAGCAAACCTGTTGTGCTCTGTTCAGCGATTGCTTTGCGACGGAGATGGTTGGGCTCGAGCGCACGTGTCGCTCCCACGCATCCCACCTGCTTCACAGGGGATCGGAGGCTGCGTGTGAATACACCTCTTTGGGACTCTTGGATGGCTTCTGCAAGGGTATCTGTTTGTCCGTGGTCCAAAGGCATATGACCCATTAATTAAGTGCCCCAAAACCATTGGCATCTTCACAACTGATATCTTCCTTGCCAAAGGGCCGTAGAGCTCTTTCTAAACTCGGGGTCAAGGACCATACCGCCCACCCATCAGATACAGCCACCTTTCTGGGAGAAGTTTGGCAGCTGTTTCGTAATGCAGGTGGAGCATGCGCCAGGGTTTTTGCAGGACAGGAAATGACGAATGCTATATCCACTTCGAGAGCGAGGATATAATTCCTGCAGTTGGAGCCTGGCCAGGACAATGTGATTAACTTCTCTGGCTCTTTCCAAAAGTCCTGGGGAAAGTTTAATGACCTCGGTAATTAGGATCTTAGTTTGCACCCATTGTGCAGAACGTGGCACGTCCAGCACCCCGGCTGGCTCCATGGTGACTCACTGGGCAGCGTGCTACGTGGCGAGCGGTCAGCCCAGTGTCCTGCAGCGTCCAGACGTGTCCTGGCTGGGGTGGGGGGCAGCCATTCTGCCCTCCGTTCGCTTGTGAGCTAGGAAGGGACCCCAGCCTTTGGGTTGTATGCCCAAAGACACATCAGTATTGGTGCAATCTGCTCTCCTAGTGTTGGCTGCCTGCATATAAGTTGTGCGTGAAAGTGCTGATCATCTCTTCCCTAACACTGAGGCCAGATCCGTCGGGAAGAGTATTTTCTGAGAAAGTCCAGAATTACTTGGTTTGATTCTTGAAGGTGACGGACGTTAATCCACAAAACAGCAGCAAATCCCGTCTCCTTTGGTTTCCCAGAATAAATGGATGCGGTTTGTTCCACTGGCTCCACATCTGTGAAGACCAGCAAGAAAAAAACCCAGCATCTGCATTATCCTGTTCCTGTTTTCCTCGTGCCCCTGCCCTTCTGAAACGGTTGCTGTTAATTGGGGGGAGAAATCGGTTTTTCTGAAACGATAGTTTTCAGAGAAGGGATTTAAAGTGTGCCAAAGCTTATATGGATCTGCAGTGTTTTCCTCTCTTCCCCCAGCTGGTGTGGTGCAGCCTGGTTTGGGTTGTCTAGCTCTAGTTTCATCACTTTGTTGTAACAGCCTCCACCCCTTGCCCCTTACTGATGAATGCTGGCCTGTTTATGCTGCCGAGACCCTCTATTTTTAATACCTGCGGCATTTGCCTATCGCAGCACCTGCCAAGAGCTGGCAACACCTAGCTTGCAAAGTCGAAACCAGGCACATTCCCTCTCTCCAGTTGTACCGTCTAATAAAAGGATCCGGTCTATTGAAGACGACAGGCTTGCAGTCCAAAAGGCAAACACGCAACTATCGTTTACGTGGAAATAATTTATAGAGAATGATAAGCATTTCTCTAAGTTTAGTGATAGAGATGAGTTGGGGAGAATCCAGTGAAAACAATGAATTAGATCAGTGACAGCGTTGGCTGCAGCAGGCTGACACTTCTCAGCACGGGGCTATTTACATTCGTTGTGATACCGCCAGACTTTTTGGATGGAAGGAGGAAGGAAAATGAGAGGTGGGCAGGGCTGTCCTGAAGCCGTGCTTCAATCAAAAGTTCAACTTTGGCACGGCTGAACGAGCTTTATTTTTATTTTATTTTATTTTATTTTTATTATTGTTTTCTTTACAGTTAAATAAAACTTGACGTGCAGAATAACCTCCGAAGAATAAAAAACCTGAATGACGTCCAAAGAACTGCTGGCGTTTTTATTCTTCCATTAATCACACTGTCAGTTCTAACGTGCATCTGATTTATCCGTGGCTGGTTAACCATTCAAATGCCCTTTTTCTGACCTGATATAACACCACATAAAAGTTCTTACTGCAATAATTTATAGAGAATGATTAGAGCCCAGCTATCACGCGTAGCGGTCCTCTTAATGTGAACATGCGAATACTATCCTGCATGGCGGGGGTTAGGACTGCTTCCCCCATCCTCCTCTGAGAGCTGCCAGATAAGCTGAAGGCTCAAGCTTGCTCCTGCCTGAATGATCCCCCATCCCCACGGCCCGTTCCCCCCTACAAAGGGGTAAGCACGTGTGTGTGTGTGTATGTATATGTGTGTGTGTGTGCATGTGTGTGTATACATATATGTATGCGTGTGTGTGTACATACATATATGTATAAATATATGTGTGTGTGTATAAATAAGTTGTTGAAATGGGAAGTCACTCCACAGAAGCTCTGGAGGGGTGCCTTGAGTCCAGTGAGGGGGGGCACCTTGATTTCAGAAAGAATCACAGACAGTTGGGGTTGGAAGAGACCTTGAGAGGTCACATCTAGTCCAACCCCCTGCTCCAAGCAGGACCAGCCCCAACTGCATCATCCCAGCCACGGCTTTGTCTGCCTGGGTCTTAAACACCTCCAAGGATGGAGATTGCACCATCTCTCTAGGTAACCTGCTCCAGTGCTTTGCTGTCCTCCCAGGGAGAAAGTTTTTCCTAATATCCAACCTCAACTTCCCTTGCTGCAGCGTGAGCCCATTGCTCCTTGTCCTGGCATCTGCCCCCACTGAGACCAGCCCAGCTCCATCCTCTTTGCAGCCCCCCTGCAGGGAGGTGAAGGCTGCTATTCAATCCCCCTCGGTCTTCTCTTCTGCAGACTCAATCAGCCCAGTTCTCTCAGCCTCTCCTCCCCAGTCCTGTCCCCCAGCCCCCCATCCATTTTCATTGCTCTCCACTGGACTCTCTCCAGTTGTCCCCGTCCTTTCTGCAGTGGGGGCCCACAGCTGGACACCGGACTCCAGATGTGGCCTCCCCAGTGCTGACTAGAGGGGAAGAATCACTGCCTCCGATCTGCTGGCACCGCTCCTACCAATGCAGCCCAGGATGCCAGTAGCCTTCTTGGCACCAAGGGCACACTGCTGGCTCCTGTCCAGCTTCTTGTCCCCTGTCCCCCCAGGTCCTTTCCTGCAGAGCTGCTGCCCAGCCAGTCCCCACCAGCCTGCACTGGTGCATGGGATTGCTCCCTCCCAAGTGCAGGTCCAGACCCTCCGTTCTAGAGTCATAATAATGGGGTTGACATCTTTATACTTTATTTTTTCAAAGGGGTGGTTGAAAATTAGGTGCAACAGAATTTGAAGCTCAATAGCAATCGGGCATTTACTTCACCATTTGGGGCCCTTTACAGCCTTTTTCCTGCTCCCCCCAGCTTTCTTTGAGTTGCATTTAGTTATGGGGGCTTGAGGATCTTAAGAAGCAAAAGAAGAGGTTATGCTTCATATTCCTGATTCTGTATGTCCAGCTTCGGCATTACGGTTGTCTGTCAGGGCCAGGATCAGCCTGAAGAAGAGAGCTTGAAGGACTACATTGAGAGGAGACAGCTCCAGGCATGAAGTGCCTTGTGAACTATTATTCTGGCATATCTTCTTGCTGTGCAAAAAAAGAGGAAACTGGTATTAAAATAGCCTACAAATGGCAAAAAGGGAATGAGTTTAATAGCTTGTCGGTTCCGTTAGGCTCAGTTATTGAGGGGTAAAAGGATGCTGACATTGTGGAAGGACTTTTTAAGGAGAATAATTTCCCATTTGCAAATCTGTGTGTCAAAATCTTGCATTTTCCTCCATTCATTTATGCATGTAGAGACCAGTAGATCACTAACGTTCGTGAATCCAATGCAACCTCTATTTTTCCTTCCATCTTTCTCAGTGCAAGACGCCTTGATCTGTCCTGAGAAAGAGGAGGCTGTCACCCCTCATCGCCGCGGCCGCAATCGATGCTGAAGTGAGCAACTGCATGGATTGCAGCTCATTGCGAAGTTTTTCTGATGTGAAGTTTTCTTGCTTGGAAATGTAGGTTTCTTAAAACCCAAACCTGTGTGTGGGAGACGGTTGGTTGTGATGGCTTTCTGGGCTCTTAGGTTAGGAAAAATAGGGACGGGAAAAATAGTTTCCCAACTTTTAAAGACACCTTGTTTTGATATTTTCTAAATGGAAAAAAAAAATCCATTTCTTAGTTCATTGCAATTTTATGTAAAAATTTAGGGTAAAAAAAATAATGTAACCAAATAAAATGTTTGCTTCAGAGTTCAGGGTTTTTTTCTTCCCCTTTGGGTGTTTTTTAAGGATTATTTTTGCTCCCTGCACATTTCAACTATTTTTTTTCTCAGGGGGGGGCAAGTGGATAGTTTTCCAGCTCTACGTGCAGTCCCCTTGCCTCGTCCCCGAGCTACAGGGTAGGGGTGAGGGGAGCCATCCTGAACTTCCAAACAAGGTCCAAAATAGGTCTGGGAGACTTATTTTGAACCTGAAAGTCTGCCCGTATTTTGCAAACTAGTGGCTAATCCATGATTGAATTTTGAACAAAGCTGGGATGGCTTTCATGAAATGTAGTTTGCATTAAACCCGAGTTATTTTATCTCCAGTGACATCTGGATGGGTTGGGAGCCCGGGCCCCTTGAGAGAGCCCTTAAAGAAACTCAGAATGAATAAATGTAGCCCTGCATCAGGTATGTGATTGGAAATGGCCTGTTTTCTAGCCTGCAGGAAAATATTCAGAGTGTGGTGTCCTGGTGCAACCGCATCTTTGGGGAGTCATTGTCCGGCATTTAACTGATTGTGTTACGTGTGTTTGCTGCTACGCGGGACAATCTCTGTAATGTCTTCATTATTTGGACAGTATGGATTGGAGCTTTACACTGCCAGCAATGGGATGTGGTTACTCTCTCCTGAGCCCTCTCAGTTATTACCGTTGTTCTAAGCTTGGGTTTTCGAACCGTGCCTGACTTGCCTTACAATCCTTGCACTAAGCACTACAACTTGGTGTGCGACAGCTTTGCTTTCAGCACTGCTTAGGCAGTGCTTGTTGCCTGCCTAAGTGCTGCTCCTGAGCCTTTCTTGGTGGAAACCCCCATGCTTGCTTAATGTGTGTGTGTGTGTGTGTGTGTGTGTGTGTGTAGATATAGATAGATAGATAGATAGATAGATAGATAGATAGATAGATAGGTATAGCGGGGAGAGAGAGAGGTGTATATATATGTATATACGTGTATATACATTTTGTGTGTGTGTATCACTGACATTTTGTTTTATATTTCTTTATCTATCTCTCTACCTAAAATAACATATATTATATATCTCTATATCTGTATCTATATATCTCTAAAATGACACACATAATGTATATAATATTTATCTATCTCACTCTATAACAATATCTCTCTCTCTAAAACAACATTATATATATTGTGAGATATATATATGTGTGTGTAAAAAATATGTGTATGGGTATATACATATATATATATATACACACACATAAAATATATATTTTATTTATATTTACAGACATATACACACATGTATATACACACATATGTAAAATATATTTTATTTACATTTATACACACACATACATGCATATATGTATACACATATATACACACACATATATAAAATACATATTTTATTTATATTTGCACACGTGTATACACACATATATAAAATATATATTTTATTTATATTTACAGACATACACACATGTATATACACCCATATATACACACATATATAAAATATATTTTTTATTTATATTTACACACATGCACACATTTGTTGCTTTAGTTTAGTTAAATAACTTTCTCTTCGGGTTCTTTTCCTTTCCTAAATGGGATGAAACCGCAGGGTGAAACCATGTTCCTCCCAGTTAATATATAGGAAATGGGTATAAGCCAAGGTACATATTTCATGTTAGTCAAGAGAGATAAGTGTCAGGATTTCCAAGTAAATTCTGTTATACAGTTTCCAGCACTGAAATCCTTTCTGTCATATGCTGGCACACATTCCTTGGTTCAGAACAGCCGGTGCTTTGTTGTAACCTCTTTGTATTTTGTTATTGTTCTTTTTAACTTATTTTTTCCCCTTTTGTGCCAAGATTATCCAGCCCACTTGTAATCCCCAAATGAAACCGGAAGATGTGGGGGCAAGGGGAGGCAGGGCATATCCACTCCGTGCAAGCCTGGAAGCAGGTGTGATAGTCGGATAACACGACAGACCATGGGGAAAAAATGAATAGGAATGGATGTAGCACCATTTAAAAAGAAACACGTTAAAGAGAACAAAGGTGGGCTCTGTCTTCTCCCAGCGGGACACCTGGATGACGGGCAGCTCCCCGGTGCACGTGATGTGTCCAAGGGGAGGGTGGCTGTGGGGTGGACGCTGTGTATGAGGAATCCTGCTTCTGCACCTCCCAGTACGACGGAGCGAATCCCGCCGCAATCTTGTCTGATGTGTGATCTAGGCCTTAACTTCACCTAATGTTTCACACGGAATAGAAAAAGGGAATAATACCTGCCTTTTGAGATCCTCACTTAAAACCCGCTACGGAAGTGCAAAGCCGTCCCATTAAGACGAGGCGCAGTGCCTAAAATAACAGCATTTTAGCATTGGGGCTTCAGTTTTCCTGTAGGTTACCGAGTGACTGACCAGCACTTAAAACAGGGCTAAGCTGCTGCTTGCTTGAAATGTTGAATCTCACTAAAATTTTGAATAATACATTTCAAAGCATTTTTTCCGAGAGGGGATGCAGGCGAATGGCTTGCATTGTTTATCTCCAGCCTGCCCAATATATTGTAGTACGGCCAATTCAGCAACGGAGCAGCAGCCGGAAATCTCAGCTGGAATTAAAATAATCTAGTGCCCTTCGTTCAGAAAAGGCCAGAAGAGTAGGAGCTGATGTGCAAGACAGAGAGGCCCGACTCCCACTGAAGTGGCCAGATATTGGCCTAGAGATTTTAGGCAAGGAGATGCATTTATGTGTACGTTGCACCCAGAACCCTCAAGTGTTTGTGTAGCAACAGAGGAGCAAATGCAAGAAGATAAAGATGAAAAAATAGTGAAAATGTAAAATATCTATATCGCTAGAGCTCTGTATAGATTTCTATTGATAGAGTTAGAGATAGCAATAAAGCAAGAGAGAGATATCTATATTAATAGAGCGATATCTATATCGATAGAGATCTGTATAGATTTCTACCTAGATCTATGTCTATGTAGATCTGTATAGATTTCTACATATACATACATACATACATACATATATATATAGAGAGAGAGAGAGAGATTAGGTTATATCTGTTTATAGATCTATTTAGAGATATATATGTCTAGATAGATAGATGTAAGTAGTCTTGTTGCAGAGCACGGAGGTGCCCTACTCCTAAAGAGGAGAAACTGCTAGAGAAAGAGCCCTAGCAGTGAATAAGGAGCCCAGCTGTTGGTTGCCAGGACCCACACCTGCCAGCGGTGAGCTGGCTGTAAGGGGCAAGGCCTGGCTCTTATAAAGCCCAGGAGCTGAGGCTAGGGCAGTCCCCTGCCAGCAGCCAGAGAGAAAGGAGCTCCTGGAGCAAAGGTGTGAGAAGAAGCCTGACCGCAGGTACCGCTCAAGCCGGGTGAAGGATGGCAGCTCTAGGATGTCTGAGCCATGTGGTTTTAGCCGGGCGGCTTTAAGTTATGTTACAGCCTAGGGGCTTGTGTTTCGTTTTGTTGTGACACCGGTGGGTTGGGTGAGGCTATCAGGGGATGGAGGAGGCCTCATAGGGGACCCACAGCAGCGTGGGGACCCCAGCGCCAGTAAGGGCGCTGCATACGGGGTGCATAGACCCCGGCCCCAGAGAGGGGCGGTTGAGAAGCCCCAGCGCGGGCGTGGCGAGCCCCGGAGAAGGGGACAGCAGTGTGGTGAGCCCCGGAGAAGGGGGTAGCATTGCGGTGGGCCCCAGGAGTGGGAGGCTTTACCGAGAAGACCCAGTGTGGGCACGGAGAGCCCCAGGAGAGAGGGCAGCAGTACAGAGAAGCCCCAGAGAAGGGGGCAGTGTTACCAAAAGGGGCAGCATTGTGGAGGAGGCCCCAGAGAGTGGGCAGCGCTGCAGAGGAGCCCTGAGAGAGGGCGAGTGTAGACTTGACAGACGGAGGTGCCCTGCTCCTAGAGGGTGGAAACTGCCAGAGAAAGAGCCCTAGCAGGGAATAAGGTGCACAGCTGTGGGTTGCCAGGACAACTGGAGGCAGCAAACCACCCACACCTGCCAGCGGTGAGCTGGCTGTAAGGGGCAAGGCCTGGCTCTTATAAAGCCCAGGAGCTGAGGCCAGGGCAGTTCCCTGCCAGCAGCCAGAGAGAGAGGAGCTTCTGGAGCAATGATGCGAGGAGAAGCCTGACGGGAGGTACCGCTAGCGGAGTAAAAGGGAGCAGCTCCAAGATGTCTGAGCAATGTTGTTACAGCCAGGGGGCTTGGGTTTAACTTGTAGCCACGAGGCTTAAGTTTGTGTTCTGCTTTGTTGTTACACCGGTGGTTTGGGTGAGGCTATAAGGGGTTGGAGGAGGCCTCGTAGGAGACCCACAGTAGTGTGGGGATCCCAGCGCCAGTGTGGGCGCAGGCGCAGTTTACAGGGTGCTTAGGCCCCAGCCCCAGAGAGGGGCGTGTGAAGAGCCCCAGTGTGGGTGTGGCGAGCCCCAGAGAAGGGGGCAGCACTGCGGAAGGCCCCGTGTGGGCACGAAGAGCCCTAGGAGTGGGCGATTTGACTGAGAAGGCCCAGTGCGGCCACGGAGAGCCCCAGGAGAGGGGCGGCATTTTTGGGAAGGCCCAGAGAGAGGGCCACCGTTCAGAGAAGGCCCAGAGTGGGCATGAAGAGCCTCAGGAGGGGGCGACATAACAGAGAAGGCCCGAGAGATGGGCGTGTGTGTAGAGAGAGAGACCGAACAACATCTATTCCGACTGCGAGGCTTGGGGCGTGGTATAAGGGGTGGTTGGAGCCACGCATAGCCCCTAAGGCTAGGGTGCCCCTAAAGCACCCATCATACA